TTCACATTAACCGTCTGATGAACCCAGCTGAAAAGTATGCATTCATCACTGTGGAACCTAATTATTATGTATTCAATAGAAACGACTGTCTCTTAGAATCAGTAGATGGTGTTCTCTCGGCCTTACAGATAGCTATTGGGGTGCCCAAAAATTCATTTTTAAAGTCTGATTTGGAAAAGGTCATGTGGAAATTATCAGATAACGGGTTCTTGAATAGGTTAGAAGTTGCACTTAAAAAGGATAAGCGTCCTAGGTGTAAAACTGTTGATAATAAACGTCCGATGTCATTTGAAGACCTGAAGGGAGCCTTATTGATCGTGGGTTTTGGAACGTTTTTCACATTGATCGCCTTTATAATCGAATGTACGATTAAACATACATTATGCAAGAGCTAAATCTGCCTATTGCAGGTCTTTGTTTAGGCCATAATCAACTCTTGATGTCATCGCTAGCCTGCGATATTTACTGAATTTGAATCCGATCTGCTGCTCAACGCTCATTGATGACTAAATCCAAAAATTGATAATCGAGACTATTTTTTGTATCGCACCGAGCTCAACGCTCATTGATGATTAAAACGATTTTTATCGTAACGATTTAGTAATTATGATCGAGGCTAGGCCTACAATTCAAAAAGTAATATCTCGGTTCAGAGTGTATCAATTTGACTGAAATGTTCAGCGTATTCCCTTTACATTATCTAGTTTGTAACTATTATGGTGAGAACTGACAGCTGTTTATCTGATCTCCCATAATGCCCCTTTAGATGTCAACAAATGAAAGGGAAATCAATTCAACGTCATTATTAACTGGGATAATGAAGTCAGGCTATAGGAGAGAGAGAAATGGTGTTTAACGTCCACTCGACAGAAACTAGGTCATTTCGGGACTAACATGGTTCAATTTTATTTCAATAAATCGCTAGCGCCTAGGGGTCTTTAGCAGTGGGGGACCCGGAGAAAACCCACGGGGTTGATTAGGCAACCCTACTTCTTGTCACATACATCCGGGGATTCGAAACCACGCCAGTTGACTCAATGACAGGCCTTATGATAATACAACGAGCACAGTTAAATGACGTCAGCGACATTAATTGTGTTATATACGTGTATAGTAAGTAATCTACATTCAATCTGTTCATGTTCCGTGCAATACACCAACAGTCGTTTTCGCCTGCTTAGTCAATTTCAGGGTAAGCTGAGCGATAAGCAATGTGATAAACATTGTCTGCTTACGGTAAGCAGAAATAAGCAAACTAATTGGTTGATGCTTTGGGGCAAGAAAACTTTGGTTATAATTAAGTGAGTGTGATGAAACTATAGATTCATTATATCATTACCTTGACTAAGTTCGATGATGAGAATTTTCTGCTTAGGCTAAGGAGCAATAAGCAGTTTGATTGGTCAAGACTTTGGAACATAACAACTCTGCTTTTAATTGAGGTAGAATGTTTAGACTTGATGTAGATGTTCATTAGGTGAATTTCTTGACTGAGTTCAATGATTAACATTTCGAGCTAAAGCTAAGCAGACCTAGGAAATTTCATTGGTCGATGCTTTGGGACAAGATAACTTTGATTCTATCTGATAGAGAGTGATGAAACTTGTGTATAGTTGATAATCAGTTTGATTGCTTGAGACTTTTGAAAAAAATAAATGTGCGATTAATTAAATTGTGTCATCTATTTATTTTAGGATTTTGTCGGGGGGGGGGGGGGGGGGGTTGCATCAGCCTCACTGTTGGCTTGTTGTTATTGTTTGAAATACACGCGAGTGGAAAATTACTAATTAGCCGACATCATTCGGCACCTATAAGAGAGAGTGGGGCTAGAATAATTTTAGACATTATGTAGATTGTTTAGGGTAGACACCAGGCTGATTCTAAGAGAGGTTCAAGGGACATCTGGGTTGAGAGATAGAGAGAATGGATGTATTATAATCTATGTTTGTATTCTATGTATCGGAGCTTAATATACTATTTAAGATGCAGTATATTCAATTACAATGTGAAACTGTCATTAATGTGGAATGCCAGAGTGGCATTTAAAGATACGTCCTAACCAGTTAAAGAATTATAAATGTGACCGGAGACAATACTAGACAATCACGGGCTGTTCCAAAATATGTAGTACGAAAAGGTGCATGGGACATATGCCGGATGTGGCGACCGGTTTAGCACGACCGCTCTACACGTCTGACAGACGACCCATGGTCCTACATATTAGATTTGGTTTCCGTGACCAGAATCGACCTTCGGTGGAATCAAGATGAAAGCATATCTGATTTGGTGACCTTGCCAAGGATTCGACCTTCATGGGAATCTACATTCGGATTACATTTTGTTATGTTCCACATTTCCAAACGCCCCTAAAGCTTGTCATGTCTAAAATAAGAATTAACGGTGGTGACGAAGGACAGTGCTACCCAATCTTGTACCAATCCTGTACCACATGGTTGTGTTAAGATACCGAGATCACTCCATGAAAACCTTGACGTGTACGTAACAGACTGGAGGTCGGGTGTTCGATTGGCCGAGAAAGTTCATCCAGATTTTCCGGCGTGTTTCCCTCTTGTCAGTGATGCAGGACGGAGGGCCTGACAAGGACAGCTGTCTAGTCGTTCGGATGAGACGAAAAACCGAGGTCCCGTGTATACATTGGAATGCACGTAAAAGATCCCCTGGCAGTTGGAATTCGATATAAGAGTAGGCCGTAGCGCCGCTGCCCCGGGCAAAATTTCCCTCATAGCACACTGTATGGCGTATGCCCGTCTTCATTAGCCCAGGTTATGAGCAGAACAGTAGGACGTTAAACCCCATTTCATTTCATTTCATTACGTAACAGACAGTATACGCGGTGCCATGCGCGAACACCGTTGTAATCACAAATAGTTTTTAATAACAAGGATCGAGCCACAATGTGACGAAAGGCTTGAGAACTAGGTCAATTTTCATCCACAAGGAACTTAGCAGCGCTGTCACAAAATGCTTGAGAACCAGGTTCAAATTTCAACCACAAGGAAGCGAACCAACTCCAACAGAAGGCTTGAGAACCAAGTCTGTTTTTAACAAGGAGGCGGACCAACTCCAACAGAAGGCTTGAGAACCAAGTCTGTTTTTAACAAGGAGGCGGAGACCAACTCCAACAGAAGGCTTGAGATCCAGGCGACTATAAAACACAAGAAAAATAAAATGGATGAAAATATTTTATTACTGTGACTCAAAATGGGCGAGATGGAGATTATGCTTTAACTATACATGATGACATCACACATGATTATATTAATAACAATATATTACCAGTTAATATATACACTATATACATCATATTATACAACAACAGGTGCTCGTTATATTAGTTTTACACACTTGATATCGCCCTGTCGGACGATAAACAACAGGTGCCCGTTATATTAAACACTTGATATCGCCCAGTCGAACGATAAACAACAGGTGCCCGTTACATTAAACACTTGATATCGCCCAGTCGAACGATAAACAACAGATGCCCGTTATATTACACACTAATATCGCCAAGTCGGACGCTTAATAGAGAATCTCCTACGAGTCTTTTTTGGTATCAAAAAATATCAACACAACTCGATAAAGTAAAACAAAAACGAGACTCTGTCGATTTATTTTTTACTTTATCGACGAGTGTTGAAACCACACCAGTTGACTCAATGACAGACCTTATGATCTAGCGCGCGCACAGAAGTTAAATAACGTCAGCGACATTAATTGTGATTTTTATTCTTACACAATGTAGGGAAAAGGGCAATTAACTGACGGAGAACAAGTTATTTGTATCGCACGTGTAGTCCACAAGAATTTTATCATCGCACCTTGCCTTCACCATTGAACATATTTACAAAATCATTCCATCATTAAAATACAGATCTATATTTCGTTTCGTTTTCTTTTATACTTTCGATGTCCTACACTACATGAAGATCTGACTAGTTGTGGTTGGAGGTCGCGTCATTGGTGATACGAGCGGCATTTTACCCTATGACGTCAGACATTTCATTAACCAATCAGCGTTGATGTTTCTAGTAGGATACACAGAACTCGCTGCAACAGACCGTTTCATTGGCTAATCCCTCACATCAAGCAGAACGCGGGTTATATAACAACTCTTCTAGATCCTAGTGTAGTAAAGACAAGTAAAACGAAACGAAATAGGATCTGTGTTTTAATCTGATTGTTTCATATATTTTGATTCGAATCAAGAAATTAGCGTTTTAATTACAGAGCTAAAGCAATGATAATTCTATATTTTCTACAAACATTATAATACAAATATATATTACTATAAATACAGGGTTTACATGGCTCGTACAGTATTCACGTGTTTGTCACGTTCGATTAATTCCAAACAGGATCAACTGATGACAGGTTTTAATGGTTATATTGAATTGTGTAATAAAAAGAAATTCAATAACAACGTACATATTGTAATCGTTATAACGATATCAATTTACAGCAACTTTGATGGTGCTGTTTACTTTGTTTTTGGTGTAGTATTTCATGATGAAACTGACAATTAATAATAATTGAGTTACGATATTTATAGATGAAACCAGGAGTTAGTAAGCTCGTATAATACAAATACGTTACCATGGATACTAAAATACCATCAAATACAAAGTAAAATGGAGTAACCACGGGTAAGTAAGCTAGTAATATAAAATACAGTATTAACCATGAATACTATATACAATCACATTATAAATCCTTAATACAAACATGACAGATTAGTGTACAACTACCTGTTTATTACCAAGGGACGTAACTGTCACCTTCCGGATGCAAACTAGTAGCAGTATCTGCCTCGCACATGACACCCATCACGAAGCTATGTTATATAGAAACATTACGACGATTTATAAACATCGGGTGATTGACCACCCCTTAAACATGAATTCTTTAAAGAGCTAAATTTGTCTATTGAATGTCTTTTTCTCAGCTTCAAATGTTATATAAACTATAATTTAGACATTTATTCACATGACAAGCCCATAATCAGCTCTCTAGATCATAGGATGACCTTGATATTGAATGAATTAGACACCGTCGCCATTTTATACTTTAACGTTAACCATATCAAGGGTACGGGACAATCGGGACGTCAAAACTCAAATACTCATAACTTTGCTCGGAATAAAGTAAATTGACCGAAATGTTCAATACATACCATTATCTATGTTTGAATTATTATAAGGAGAATTACGGGCTCTTTATCTAAATCTTACTGTATTTATATCATTTCCTGTTCTCTATCTATTTTCGAACTATTAGAACTAGAATGGCCAATCTTTATCTAAATTTTATATAATGTATCATTAATTATATTAATTTAGAAATCTAAACAGTTTAATCCGCGGTATTCTTGAACAATGTGAATATTAGACCCCTATATAACACGAATGGTCAGCTCTTTATCTAAATTTTACAAAATATTTCATTAATTATATTAATTTAGAAATCTAAACTGTTTAATCCGGGGTACTTAATATAAATGTTATATAAATTATTAATTATACATTGGTTAACTTAAACATCAATGCACATATCTTCTCAATATCTTCGCTCAGAATAAAGTAGTTTGAATAAAATATTCAATTTTACACTACCTATTTTTGAACTGTTTTAGCAAGAATGGCGAACTCTTTATCTAAATGTTACATAGTTGATTTTGAGCTTTCTAGAAGGTTATTTCCCTGACTTAACGAAATACAGATATTTTTTAAGATGTAAATTGTTACGATGCTAGTGATGACATGAAAATAAACCCAGGATTAAAACTGTTAACATCAATGGCCATCCTGTCGACACATCTGAAAAAAAACACAACAAATAAAATTTTACACATTTTATAGAATTTCATAAATAACAATTCATGGTGTTACAACATTCAGTTGGAGAAATAAAACAGGTTGGGGGTCCTATCATTAAATTTAAACGTCAGAAAGTTAGATCGATGATGTTCCATTAAAGTCAGAAAGTCATCTCAGTGATTTTCCATTAAAGTCAGAAAGTCATCTCAGTGATGTTCGATTAAAGTCAGAAAGTCATCTCAGTGATGTTCGATTAAAGCCAGAAAGTCATTGATGTTACATGAAAGTGTAAAAGTGGGTTTAATTTAAAGTGACAATGTCAAATGGGTCTCGGTTATAGTCCAATCAATATATACAATTCATGATCTCAATGACAGACCTTATCAACTAATCGGGCCACTCGACCAACCAACCCCCATTGGGTAGAAGGGTGCTCAATATGATCACCCTTGAAATCACCCTTCTCCCCTAGAAGACATTGTCATCCAGTTGTCAATTATACCAGACAGAAACAAGCTGATTAAAATAAAACACAGATCCTATTTCGTTTCGTTTTTTATTGTTCAAAATTTCGTTTTATGTCTTTACTACAATAGGATCTGGAAGAGTTGTTATATTACCGGCGTTCTGGTTGAAATGAGGGATAGGCCAATGAAACAGTCTGTTACAGCGACTGTGGGTAAACCACTAGAAACGTCTACGCTGATTCATTAATCAATGTCTGACGTCATAGGATCATAAGCCGCTCGCACGACCCCTGACACGATCTTCGAGTACAAGTTGTCAGATCTTCATATAGTGTTGGCCATCGAAAGTATAAAAAACGAAACGAAATATAGATCTTTATTTTAATCAGATTGAGCGAGAAACAATAAAATGGGATGAAAAACCCCACCCAACTATAACGTACTTGTTCCACCTGCTTGTACTTGTTGTTTTCTACCTCGACGGTTTTGTCCAGAGAGGATACGTTCACATCTACCTTGCATCAGGTCCATGAAACCACGTCTATTGCTGGTAGCTTCGTCAAAATACTTCCTTAAAGATGGACATCTGTGATAACCTGCATGATCCAGACAGCGGAGACCCGTTTGATATTCCCTGAAAAGAGAGAGAAATGGGGTTTAACGTTCACTAGATACAAACTAGGCAATTTCGGGATTAACAAATGGTTCAATTTTATTTTAGCAATTCACTTGCACGTAGAGGTCTTTAGCAGTGCGAGGCAACCGGAGGACCCGGAGAAAACCCACGAGGTTGGACAGGCAACCCTACTCCTTGTCACGTACGACCGAGGAATCGAAACCAGGCCAGTTGACTCAATGACAGACCTTATGAAACAGCGCGCACGTGCTAACCATTCGGGGATCCAACCCCTCGATATTCCCTCGAATAGATTCACCCCACCCCGCCCCCTAAAAAAGATACACAGGGTTTAATATGTATATAAACATGATCGGTAATTAGACGAACCTAGTCTTAATCGGATCGATGTCACTTAAATAAATAAGCTGATTCATTTCATTATATTTGTTCAACTAATTTAACAAGCCAAAAATCGATGTTAATGTGTAACTTTAATTTATAATATTTTATTATGTCATATTGATCAAGCACGAATGGAAACTTCATTTAGGGCTGGTATAGTCGTTCGGAGGGGACACAAACGGAGGTGCCGTGAACACAATGACGTACACGTAAAAGAATCCTTTGCAGTTAAAAATTCGAAATAAAGAGTAGGCCGTTGGGCACTGCATTTGCAGGACAGTAGGGCGTTATGTCCCATTTTATTAGATTTGATACCGGGTTGTCTTTCTAGATTCCTTTCCGGCGTGGTTCCCCCTTGTCAGTGATGTAGGACGGAGGGCCTGGTGAGGACAGCTGTCTAGTCGTTCGGATGGAACGAAAAACCGAGGTCTCGTGTACACATTGGCGTGCACATAAAAAATCCCTTGACAGCTGGAATTCGATATAAGAGTAGACCGTAGTGCCGCTGTCTGGGCAAAATTTCCCTCATAGCACACTGTATGGCGTATGCCCGTCTTCATTAGCCCAGTTCGGAGCAGAATAGTAGGACGTTAAACCCCATTTCATTTCACTTTCTAGATCCTCTCAAAATATGAGTGTTCAACCAATGACATTAATTCCATGATTAAGTTTTAGACAATTCTTTATAAATTATTTCATACTATGCCAAAGATAAACTATAACACATACTTATGGAAAAACAGCTACTTATTTATTTGGGCGACGTTTCGAAGAGTATTTTCTCAACTTTATCAAGCTAATACTCTTCGAAAAGTCGCCCACATAAGTAAGTAGCTGTTTATAGTATATAGTTATTGCTCTATCCAGTTACTAAATGACAAAGTTATTATAAAACCAACATACTTGCATTGTTTGGTAGAAATAGGTGGATTATTTAAACTAGCTGGCCATGACAGGGCTAAAACACGAACACAGTGTTTGATTCTAGCTTCACCCATCTCACCACACTCCTCTCGACTTCCTGAAATATAAAAATAATTAACGTTCATGTATATAATAGCGGGTTTCACAATCCTGTTAAAATCATGCGATGTTTTCAAGTAACATTACTTTATGCAGATTGATCTATACGGAGTACTCTCCCTTGAAACATTTTCGTGTTACCTTTGTAAATACTGAACGCAAGTGCGAAATGCTAATTGCAGGCCGATTTGGGAGTATTTTGGGGAATATTAACCCTAACCCCTTTGAAAAGAATGAACTTGGATCCAATGTTACCCCTCTTAAACATGCATTATGCAAGAGCTAAATCTGCCTATTGAAATGTTTTCTAAAGTATTAATTAGACATTAATTAACTGATCCAGGACTTAACCAACTCTCGATGGCATCAGATTTCTCCGATATTAAATAGATTAGAATGGTTCAGCGATACTTTGATTTAATCAAATATGGAGGACCGAGACTTAGCTTCGATCAACCAGTACGGTGGTTGATATTATTGCACACGTCTGTCAAACCTTCAAAGGCTAATATCTTCGCTTGCAATAGAGTAATTTGAATGAAATTTTCAAATTATTCATTTTACATCATCTACTTTCGAACTATCATAGCAAGAATGGCTAGTTCCATATCTAAATCTTACATAATGTATCTTTAAATGGGTTTGGTAAAGGGTTAGTATTCCGCCAAAATACCTATTTATACAAAGCGGTCATTTTGGAGTCCGGAAATTCCCAAATCGCCCCAACCGGCCTACAATTAGCATTTTCCAACGGAATTGAACACTTTTTGGACTGCTATTCATGTGCCAGATTCGCCGTTTTTACCTTAAACATACATTACGCAAGAGTTAAATCTGCCTATTACAGGTCTTTCTTTAGGCCTGAAATGTTATATAAACTATTAATTAGACATTAGCCTGCGATATTTACTGGATTTTTGTTATCGTACCGACTTTAGTAATGAGGATCGAGGCTATACCTAAAATTCAAAAACAAATATCTCGGTTCATGGTGGATCAATTTGACTGAAATTTTCATCAAATTCCCTTTAGATTATCTAGTTTTTCACTATTATAGTGAGAATGGTCAGCTCTTTATCTAATCTCCAATAATGTATCTTTAAATGTACTATGCAAGCGATGTCTATATCTCTCGAATAACTTTCAAATATTTTAAAACACGGAAATAAAATGAGGGGAAACAACTCTTTTTTAAACCGCGTGCAGCTAACTTCGAATAAAGCTGTATTAACTGGCAGAATAGTAATTGTTTTAAAGGTGTATTGTCTGAAGGCGGGGGGGGGGGGTATTTATTAAAAGTAAAGTTAAAGTTGTATTACCTGGTGGAGGAGTAAATGTTTGATTACACTGTTGTTCATATAAACCAAATATATGTTGTGGGTATAAAACTTCCATTAAAGCCTCGAACATAGGACACGTGACAGGAGCACTAGAAGATCGTAGACATTCTTTAAATTTGTTGTATGCACTGAAAAAAACCAAAAACATTTATAAACATAAGAAGCTCACACTACGTTTTTATTTATCGGATTTTTCACTTTTTTATTTATGGTTACGACTGCACTAACCATGGTGATAAAGACGGGCATACGCTATGGAGTTTACTATGGGTGACATTTTGCACAGAGAGTAGCAAATGCCAACTGTCACAGTTATCTTGCATGCAAAGAAATGGGTTTTAACGTTCTGCTCCGACTGGGCTAATGAAGGCAGGAATAGCTTGCATGCACAACAGCGCGTAGCTGGGATCTCAGTTTTTAGTATAATCCGACAAGCTAGACGCGGTTCCTTGTCAGGCATCTCTTCCTACAACACTGACATGGAGAAACACGCGGGAAAACCCGGTATCGTAGCCAGATCCTGCTGGTTAGTGAACTAGTTTCTTAATCACAATGGCTCAGTGTTACTATTGATTTTTTTCATTCTAGGTCAGATGAATTGGAAACATAAAATCTTAGAGATGTTATCAGATCTATAGGTAATTTCGAAACTAACACATGGTTGAATTTCATTTCAATAATTAGGTTGCGTTTAAAACTTTAACAGCGGAAGGCAACTGAAGAAAAACACACGAGGTTCAGTAGGCGATCCTACACTTTGTAACGGACAACCCCGGTATCGAAACAACCCAAATTAATTATAATACGATGTGGTTCAGAATAGTAGGACGTTAAACCCCATTCCATTTCATAAAATGACGTGGCACAGACCGCTTGACCACCCGAACTCCTATATCTTACCTGCAAGCAGCATCTAGATCTTCTGGTAAATTCATGACATGTACCTTACAACTCTCTAACACACCCATAGCTTCATCAAAATTATTACAACCTAAAACATAGAAACATATACATGACTTCATTAGCCTTTCATTAGAAAAATTCGATGCTAAACCCCATTTCATTTCTCAAAAACGTATTTTGGATACAGTCATACTATGGATCAGGAATCGAGTATGACGTCATGGCAGCCATTTTGGAATTATGACTTCATACCAAATATAGAAGTCTGTAGCAATCGATGCGCAATTGTCCAAGAAACAAACCTTTGGCAACAAAATAAGTCGCGCTTTGGGCCCAGTTCTTGGACCAATTTTTACTGTGGATCCCTTGGTTTGTACTGGACGAAACCTCGTCATCCATGATGATTCCATGACGTATAATGAGGTTTTTTTTTTATTAAATACTAAGATGGACGTACCTGCTGTACAGATAGTATTAGCTGTTGAATCAACTCCCTGGGGTAGAAGATCATAAAATAACTTAGAAAACATCGGACATTCCTTTGTCACCGCATCAGCACATCGTAAACTGTCATTTAGTGATCTGGATTTGAATAATGAAAAAATAAATACAATCATCTAATGGGAAAAAAATAGATTTCATGCCCTAGGACTTCAAACGAGCATGGTGTCATGTCCTAGGACTTAAAACGCCCATGGTGCCATACGCCACAGGAATTCCAGCGACCATGATAAATATCAAACATTTGGTCCAAAATGCAATCCATTTAAAAACTAGAAGTTATTCTCTGACCGCTGTTATTCTGCTGGCCCCTATTATTATGTTGGCTTCTGTTATTATTTTGGCCCCTACTACTCTGTTGACCCCTGTTATTCTGTTGTCCCTTGTTACTCTTTCACCCCTTGTTATTCTCCTGTCCCGGTGTTATTATATTGTCCCCTGTTATTCTGTTGTCCACGTATTATTATATTGTCCCCTGTTATTATGATGTCCCTTTGTTATTCTGTTGTCCCCTGTTATTCTGTTGTCCCCGTATTATTCTGTTGTCCCCTTGTTATTCTGTTGTCCCCGTATTATTCTGTTGTCCCCTTGTTATTCTGTTTTCCCCTGTTATTCTGTTGTCCCCATGTTATTCTGGTGTCCCCGTGTTATTATATTGTCCCCTGTTATTATGATGTCCCCTTGTTATTCTGTTGTCCCTGTTATTCTGTTTTCCCCTTATATTCTGTTGTCTCCTTGTTATTCTTTTGTCCCCTTGTTATTATGTTGTCCCCGTGTTATTATATTGTCCCCTGTTATTATGATGTCCCCTTGTTATTCTGATGTCCCTTTGTCCCTTTTATTCTGTTGTCCCCTGTTATTCATTTGACCTCTTGCTATTCATTTGACATCTTGTTATTCTAACGTCCCCGATTTTTCGGTTGTCCCTTGTTATTCTGGTGCCCCCTTGTTATTCTGCTTGTTGAAGACGTGTTCAAGAAAAGCGCGTTAATATATCATTGAAGCTAAATGTCTGGATTAAAAATACACTTTCAAATTCTGTCTGTATCATGGTTTGTAATTGGTAGCCTGGTATGGAGTCGACCAATCACAATCTGTAAATTACAGACTAAGTTACAGTGGAGAGAACAACGAACAAATACAGCGGAATAAACTGTTGATAAAATGTTATTCTGTCCCTTATTATTCTGGTGTCCCCTGTTATGCTATCGTCCCCTTATTGTTCTGGTGTCCCCTTGCTATTCTTCTGTCCGCTTGTTATTATTTCGTCCCTTTGTTATGCTATCGTCCCCTTATTATTCTGGTGTCACCTGTTATTCTGGTGTCACCTGTTATTCTAGTGTCCCCTTGTTATTTTGGTGTCCCTTGTTATTCTATTGTCATCTGTTATTCTGATGTGCCGGTTTAAGGCCAGTCACAATCTGTAAATGACAGACTAGGTTACAGTGGAGAGAACAACGAACAAATACAGCGGAATAAGCTGTTGATAAAATTCCCCGCTAAAGTGTCCAAAAGCTAAAATGAAAAATTGTGAAAGCCGGCGTTATAAGATAAATATCACCGTGTCACCCCAACCTTTATCATCGATTTTATTGTAACCCCTCGTGCTTGCCTTCTGATGAAGGGAAACCTTCGAGAAATAGAATTGTTTGTCAAGTCGATTGATTTCATAAACATTGTATGATATAAGATTGATCGGGGTTATCCAGTTGGTTTTGCAACCCAACCAAAGTAAGCAATATAGAACAAATTCTCAACACGTTTTAAAATGTATTTTTTATTTGTATCGTTGGATCCCATTGGGCTAGGCTCTATAAGTTTTGACCAATCAGCGTGGTGTTTAAAAACGCGAAATAGTCATGCCTAGCTTCACGACAGAATATTCGGTTGCGCGTGTCTGCATTTGGCAAATGGATTAAAGCCAACTGTCGTACTGAGACACTGGCTACCTGAAAAGTTTGATTCGTGTTTTTCTTTTTGAAAAACGATAATATTTATGTTTTGTCAAGATAAATATTTTTATATCTTTAGAGTGAACCTTCAGTTAACCTATTTATCTTTTTATGAGAAATGAAATACAGACAGGACATCCTCACAGTGGGTAGCAACCCTTTGCGATTGTCTACGTCACTTCCTGATTTGATTTAAACAACGCATTAAATTTTGAAAATAATTATTATAAAAAATGTTCGGTTGTGTGTGATTTTATAACAAAAATAATTTGGCTTAGTGAACTTTTATTTTAAACATACATTATGCAAGAGCTAAATCTGATTATTGCAAGTCTTTATTTAGGCTTCAGATGTCATAGAAATTATAAATTAGATCTTTATTTACACAACAAGCACAAAATCAACTCTTAGACCCACGGATGGCTTGGATTCAGCTTGGATTTAAGCAGGATTTCGTTGACTGATTTAAATTTAAATGGCGTCGTGAGCGGAGATTAACCGTTATGTTGACGTCATACTCCCGGATCGAGGCTAAATGATAGAGTGTACGAACCGGGGCCGCTGTTGAGCGATGCCTTAACAAATGACATCTAAACTATTTAAAGTGCAATAAACTAAACACAGATAATGACAAATTATACAATTCCCGGAGACCGTGTGATGACTAATACAGACGGGCAGGTCTTCTGTCTTAATAAAATCAATAAAAAAAATTATTTCCCCAATAGGCACGACGCCACTGGTGTATACCTATAGATTTATCATAATTGTATTATAATATTATGTCCTATATTCATTTGATTTAATGCATGCCCAAAATACAAGAAAGAATGAAAATTTACCCGCTCACTCATTTTGTCCAATTGTTATAAAAATCCAAAAAGGTAAAACACAAATTCGGATATGATGACAGCAGACAAAAGACAGCAGAGATTATGTAGGCGGAGTTAACGCCTGTCAATCAAACGATCGGCCATACTAAGAATCGGTGAAGATGGAATTCAATCCCATTTCTAGTCAAAAATTACACTGGTGATAACTATATTCAGAATTAAGTAATTTGACTGAAATTTTCAATATATTCTTCTTTCATCATCTATTTTTGAACTGTTATAGCAAGAATGGCTAACTCCTTATAAAAATCTCCCATAATGTGTCTTTAAGTCAACGGAATAACCTGACAATCCCTTGAGATGTTTCTACAGGTTAATTATTAACTCTAAAATATGTATACCTTTTTTCTAAAAAAAAAAACTTTCATACGTACCCACAAAATATGTTGAATTCATTTTCATACAAGGAATCAAACCTAATCATACTGGTACACTGGGTAATATTTATAGTTCGTTCTAAAAACTGGGGACAGGCTGAAAATAAATATATCTTATAGTTCATTATTGATTTTTTAATCGTTATCGATTGATCGATCGTTCGTTCGTCCACCAAAACCGGGGGTGATAACTAGGAAATTTGCCAGACAAGCCAGTCATGTATATATTACCTATCACAGTGCACAACAATGGCGTATTGATGGGATCCCACTTAACAGTGCGCACTGTATCATAAGGTCTGTCATTGAGTCAGTTGGTGTGGTTTCGATTCCCTGACTGTACGTGGCAAGGAGTAGGGTCGCCTGTCCTCCGGTTTCCTCCCAATGCTAAAATGCCCTACGCGCAAGTGCATTATTGAAATGAAATTGAAATGACGTGGTTTGTGTCAAGAGGAACGTTAAACTCTCTCTCTCTCTCGCTCTCGCTCTCTCTCTCTCTCTCTCTCTCACCCTCTCAGTATAACACATCCCCTGATTATTCTGTTTCTTGTAAATTGGATTTTTTGTTGGTTGGAGGACTCCCATAGCGCCCCCTGTGGTTGTGGTTGGAGAGAAGTACATTTAATGGTGGTCTGCTTCCGTATAACCTGCGTGTTAAGACTGGGAAATGATGTGACTATAAAAATGAAATGAATGGGGTTTAACATCCTACTGTTTGCTCCGACTGGGCTAATGAAGACAGGCATACACCATACAGTGTACTATGAGGGAAATTTTGTCCGAAAGTGCACTTATTCCCAATTCCAACTGTCAGGGGATCTTTTACGTGCACGCCAATGTGTACACGGGACCTTGGTTTTTCGTCCCATCCGAACGGCGAGACTGACAACGTGGACCCAAACGTGAAATCCGGATGAACTACTAGGTCGACACTGGGATCGAGCATGGGCCCTGCAGGTTAGCGAGCTAACATCTTACTCACTGACCCACCGTGACTCCCCGCCCCGGGACAAGAATTGACTTTAAGACTTGGGCGACTGATATTTATTTATATCCAATCTGATTAAAATACAGATCTATATTTCGTTCCGTTTTTTTATACTTTCAATGGCCTAAACTACATAAAGATCTGACAAGTTGTAGTGGGAGGTCACGTAAAGGGTCATACGAGCGGCGTGTGACCCTATGACGTCAGACATTTGATTAACATATCAGCGTTGATGTTTCTACAGGAATACCCACAGTTCCGTGCATCACACGCCAAGAACTCGCTGCAACAGACCGTTTCCTTGGCTTATGCCTCACACCATTAAGAACACGTCAATGATAACAACTCTTCCAGATCCAAGTGTAGTGAAGACAAGTAAAACGAAATTTGGAACTATAAAAAACGAAACGAAATGCGATCTGTGTTTTAATGGGATTGATTTATATATAACTTACATCCATCACATAATTTATAAATATCCTGCATGACTTGTTCCCATTTCTTCATAGTATCTGTTGGTTGTTGATCCACACTAACTTGACATCCTACTGTAGCATCAATATAACACTGGGTTAAATTATTACCCTTGATGGTATTCCTGCAAACAAATATACAATATTTATATTAATACACAGGCTTTGTACTTTATACTTTCCATACTGGGTTCAGCTACGCTCGTCCGTTTCTACTGGCTTTATACTTTCCATACTTGGTTTAGCTAACTTGATATTCTTTGTTTAGCTACTTCTATACTTTCCATACTTGGTTTAGCTACTTCTATACTTTCCATACTTGGTTTAGCTACTTCTATACTTTCCATACTTGGTTTAGCTAACTTAATACTCTTGGTTTAGCTACTTCTATACTTTCCATACTTGTTTTAGCTACTTCTATACTTTCCATACTTGGTTTAGCTAACTTGATACTCTTGGTTTAGCTACTTCTATACTTTCCATACTTGGTTTAGCTACTTCTATACTTTCCATACTTGGTTTAGCTACTTCTATACTTTCCATACTTGGTTTAGCTACTTTCATACTTGGTTTAGCTACTTTCATACTTGGTTTATACTTTCCATACTTGTTTTAGCTACTTTCATACTTGGTTTATACTTTCCATATTTGTTTTAGCTACTTTCATACTTGGTTTATACTTTCCATATTTGTTTTAGCTACTTTTATACTTGGTTTATACATGTACTTGTTTTATACTATTTTTATACTTGATTTATACTTCCCATGCTTGTTCAAGCTTCTTTTATACTTGATTTAGCTACTCTTATATTTGTTTAGCTACTATTACACTTGATTTTTTCTTGGTTTAGCTACTTCAGTCTTTGTGCGCGTTAAACCACTCAACAACGCCTTCCTCAACCTTTTTAATGTGCTTTATGTAAGATTTAGATAAAGAGCTGGCAGTTCTCGCTATATTAGGTTAAAAACTAGAAATTAAAACGGAATATTTGAGAATTTCAGTCAAATTATTTCAATCTGAGCGAACGACGTTCGGGCTGTTTGGAGAATAGCGCAGTCTCGATTGCCATTGCAACCGTTGTTACGATAGTAAACAAAGTCTCGATTATCCATATTTTAATAACATCATTAACCGCCAATTGTGTTTAAATCCGTTATAAAACTAGAGCATCCGATGGAATCGATAGTTATCTATTAGCTTATCGTGTAAATATATGTTGAATTTATATTATAAGGTTTGAAGCCGGGGGGGGGGGGCGAATGGTTAGCACGTGTGCGCTGTATCATAAGGTCTGTATCATAAGGTTGTGGTTTCGATTCTCCGGTTGTACTTCACAAGGAGTAGGGTCGCCTGTCCAACCCCGTACTTTTTCCCCGGGTCCTCCGGTTTCCTCCCACTACTAAAGAACCCTACGTGCAAGCGAATTATTGAAATAAAATTGAACCATATGTTAGTCCCGAAATAACCTAGTTTGTGTCGAGTGGACGCTAACCCAATTCTCTCTCTCTATCTCTCTCTCTCTCTCTCTCTCTCTCTCTCTCCTCCCACTGCTAAGACCCCTACGTGCAAGCGAATTATTGAAATAAAATTGAACCATATGTTAGCCCCGAAATAACCTAGTTTGTGTCGAGTGGACGCTAACCCAATTCTCTCTCTCTATCTCTCTCTCTCTCTCTCTCTCTCTCTCCTCCCACTGCTAAGACCCCTACGTGCAAGCGAATTATTGAAATAAAATTGAACCATATGTTAGTCCCGAAATAACCTAGTTTGTGTCGAGTGGACGTTAACCCTCTCTCTCTCTCTCTCTCTCTCTCTCTCTGTCTCTCTCTCTTTCTCTCTCTCTCTTTCTCTCTCTCTCCCTCTCTCCCTCACTCTCTCTCTCTCCCCCAGCTCTCTCTCTCTCTCTCTCTCTCTCTCTCTCTCTCTCGCTTAAAGCCACAAAAAAGACCAGCAATAAGAAGATTTAAATCTTAAATAATGCATCTTCAAATTGTATTATCTAATTAAGAAAAACAAGTTCGTGACAGTTGGTGATTTTTTTTTCTGTTTGTTTGCTTGAGAATATAACTTTGAAATATAAATAACAATATTTTATTTTCTACACAAGAAAGATATTCAAGCTACTTGGTATCTCTTTCATTATGAATTATAACATTTTTCTTTACTTGTGCATATAAAACTAACTCCGATAACGTGTTGGGATAACATCCAAGCGATTTAAATTTACTTGCAACTGCTTATCACTTGCAAAATTTAGAAATTAAGTTGCCTTGAAGTATATTTTGGTAAAAATAAAAGTTTTAAAGAGCTTTGTTAAAAGCTTAACATGTTTTGGTGGATTAATATGGTGTGTGTCCTTTCGTCAAAAAGCCAATGACTCAAAGCATACAAGAACGATAGAGAAATGGGGTTTCGCGTCCAATCGACACAAACTATGTGTTTTTGGGACTAACATCCAATCAAATTGTACAAATGTTTTAAAGATAATTCTGATAATGTTAAATAAATTGAGATATTAGCCAATGAATTCTAGGCTAGTCTCGGTCGTCATTACTAACGTTTGTATGATAACAAACAAAGTCTCGATTATCCATTTGTACGTTAAATTATCCATCACAAAATGTATTCAAATCCACTAAAATCCTACCCATCAGATGGCATCGAGAGTTGATTATGGTCCTGTCGTGTTAATAAATGTCTAATTAATAGTTTATGTAACATTTAAGGCCTAAAGAAAGACCTGCAATAGGCAGATTTGGCTCTTGTATAATGCATGCTTAAAGGGACAATCTCGATTATATTTTGGACAATAAAACTGCTTTATTTTGTGTTAAAAGCCCTACCTTAGGGCCGAGCAAATGACTCAATATAGTGATATGTTTTCAAACAACTTAAACCCGTCAGTCTTCATCTGGAAATGGAGACTGGTGTCCCAACTCTGTTATGCGGTGTCTGAATAAAAACAGACTTTTACTTTATAAAAATTAAGTGGTGAAATTTACCTTTCGTGATCAAGTACAGCACGTGGACCATGCAATGTATAGACCTCTAAAGGGACGGCAATAGATTATTACATCACCCAACGAAAAAATTGACCCGAAATCTTAAAAAGGGTTACGTGTCCGGATAAGCAGTTTTTAAATACGGGTTGTTCCGTTTAATAGAAACAGGGAACCATTGACCCATTCCTAATCCTTCGATCGGACGATAAACCGAGATCCAGTCGTGTAATCATTCTCGCAATCTGATTAAAATATAGAAATCTATATTCCGTTTCGTTTTTTGTTGGGTTTTTTTTTTGGGGGGGGGGGTAAAACGGTTTATTAAACATTAAATGATTTACTTACAAACATAGATCTTCCATTGAACCTTGACCTTCTCCTCCTGTAGTAGTTCCAACAACACGATTTAACACTAATTCCATTTGACCAACACACCAATCAGCATGCGTCATATTACACGCCTGGGATGTCACTAAATGTACTGCAAGAAATAAGAAAATGCGTATCCATAAACTAGCCATATTGTCTACCGACTGTTCAAATTGATATGCGACCTCTTCCCCAGTCTTGGTAAACTAGAATAGAACTTGGAAGTCGCATTAGCCGAGAATAACCAACGCGATCACTCCGCTATCTCATGGACGCTACCTTCATGTATACCTACGTGAGTGTATGCCGAGTTCTTTCGAAATAGGATTATGTATTTTTACCCTGTTAAACAATGGCAGTTTGAAACATTAGTCACATGACTGGAATATGTGGAGCTTTTTAACATAGCCACAGTTTCGGCTTATCTTAAGCTAACGCTAATTTACATAGGGTTTAAGTAATTTGTTTTAAATTCCCTTACAAGTACATCAGGTATAAACTGGGTCTATAACTTCAAAATGTGATATTGATGCTGTTAAGTCCAGATTATCATGTGGTGGTTACATCAGGTTTTGTTTTTGTTGCGAAAGGCGGTGTAAGGTTTAACAATAAGTACATTGTCACTATGGGGTTAAATTTGTTTAAAAATAGGATTTAAAACATGAAACGATTGATCATATTATGTTTATATTTTATTCTCTCTCAGCTCACGTAAACTTCAAACCATTGGAAGAAAACCAGACAAGGGAAGTTATTGCGTCGGGTTATTTTGTTTGTCTGGCGAAGTCCACGCGTCGATTAGTCGATTAACTATTCAATATACGTCTAAAAGTACAATTACTAATTTATTTGGGGGATGTTTGTGCACGAGGGGGCGGGGTAATCTCCCACAAGTATGTGTTATAGTTTATTGCTCTAAAACATTACTGATTAATATTTCTAGGATTATGGAACTTGAACTTGACTGCACTGCTGTATGGCTCCTATAATTTATTTAGGTCTGTTTAGTGGTCTTTCTTCCAGTAGGCTTCGGATTCTGAAATCCGGCTAAACATTTCTCCAGCTTGCTATACGTAGAAGCGGGTTCCCTAGACGAGACAGAGAATGTATTCTTTCTAGAACATCCCATACCAGTTCTCCCTAGAGGAGTTCACATAGTATGTTTAATCTTTCTAGAACACCTCATACCACTCAATTGATGAGTTCACATAGTATGTTTACTCTTTCTAGAACACCTCATACCATTTCTCCCTAGATGAGTTCACATAGTATGTTTACTCTTTCTAGAACACCTCATACCATTTCTCCCTAGATGAGTTCACATAGTATGTTTACTCTTTCTAGAACACCTGATACCATTTCTCTCTAGAGGAGTGCACATAGTATGTTTACTCTTTCTAGAAGACCTGATATCATTTCTACCTAGAAGAGCTCACACTCCTTTTCATTTGTGAAAGAGAGAGAGAGAGAGAGAGAGAGAGAGATATTAGTTTCCGTGAAGAGACAGGAAGAGATATATCTCCTCGCTTTTTGTTTTTGTAAAGATACAGGCGGATCAACTCAAGAAAAAACCCAATCTAACCAACAGTTCATGTCAACACGAAGGTGTGAATTCAATCTGAAAATGTCAACTTTACGACTTTGATTTTAGTCAGAGAATGTTACACTAGTCATTTCACTGCAATTGGTTTTGTTTAAGTTATTTACTTGATGTCAAGTAACACGACCATACAAATTAACTAAATATACAGAAAACAGATAACCTTATTACGTCACTCACATCTTTCTCTAACTTTGGTGTTTTGTCAGCTTAAATATACTATGACTCGGTTGTGATAAAAAAAAACAACAACATTAAATCAATCCACGCGGAAGCTGACAAGATTGATTTTTGATCCCAAATCAAACTTTACTTTATTATGTCTTATAGTTAATTATAGATTTTTTAATCCCTATCGTTCGTTCATCCATAACATCCATTTACACCGCGAGTGATAACTAGGAAATTTGCCAGACAAGCCAGTCATTTATATATAACGGCGTATTGATGGGATCCCACTTAATAACAGGGGGGGGGGGGGGGGTAATGGCCGAATGGTTAGCAAGTGCCCGCTGTATCACAAGGTCTATCATTCAGTCAACTAGCTTGGTTTCAATTCTCCAGTTGTACGTGACAAGGATTAAGGTCGCCTGTCCAACCTCGTGGGTTTTCTCCGGGTCCTCCGATTTCATCCCACTGCTAAAGACCCATACGCGCAAGCGAAAAAATGAAATAAAATTAAACCATATAGTCCCGATACTCTCTCTCTCCCTCCCCCTCTCTCTCTCTCTCTCTCTCTCCCTCTCTCTCTCTCTCTCTCTCCCTCTCCCTCCCCCTCTCTCTTGTTTACGTAAGAAAACCCGATGTAAACTTAAATTACGTGCTTTGGATTTTTACACGCCGGAAATGACGTTTTCAATGGAATGTTATATGTTGTGAATTATTAAACAATGAACGGTACCTTATCTCCGACATTTCTCAATTAAAACAAGAGAATCTGTTGTGTTATATAATATTTGTTTTCTATTCTCTCGTGTCGTTATGACCTTTAGAACATGTTTTATTGACCTGGCGTATTTACCTGGGGATTATTGTAGTGCTGTGTTTAAAGGACGCAGGTATTCTCAGGTATTTGTACGAGATTACCTGCAATTAAAGTCCAGGTTGGACAACATAGATGAACTAAATCTTCCGCACCCGACACATCTTTGATTTCTCCTGTCTTCCAGAATAAAGACATTTTATTTGGTCCATTGAACCAGAAAAAAGCGAACGAATAAAAAAAATCCAGGATTTTTAGAAACAAAACCGTGGTTTTGTTTGATCTCAGACCAGTAAAGAATATTTGAAATCGCACGACTTGAATCGTCAAAATTACAACCGACAAATGTTACATGAAAATATTTGAATGATGCTTTTAGATGTCGGGGTCGGATGATATGGCTGAGTCTAGAACAATAGCAAATAGTACCCTGAACATTTCACCCTAGCTGGCGTTTCTTATTTCTACACTTAACAAACGAAATGATAAGAACTGGGGGTTTTAGCGCCCTATTTTTAAGAATTCTCCAGCTAAGACTCAAGTCAAACTTAATTCAAATGAGCGCGATTGGATGGTCGTGAAACTTAGGATGCTAAGGTCCGCCATTGTCAGTGGCGTGGTTTCAATCCCCAACTTGTTGGGGTTTTCTCCAGGTCCTCCCACTGCTAAAGTCCCTGAAATAAAATTTCGCTTCGTGTATTATTTTTCTGAAGTTGAAAATGTAATGAAATGAAAAGAAATGAAATGAAATGGTGTTTAACGTCCCACTGTTCTGCTCCTATACTATGGCACTCCTATACGAAATCACAAAGAACAAATCATGTGAACGTGTCCTGGAGGGCTAGCTGTCATGTTTTAAAGTCGTACATTGTAAGTTTTATTGATTATTTTAAAGAAGTAAGTTTTATTGATTATTTTAAAGTTTGACGAAGGATTGGGTTGTTGATTTAGTTTCTATATCATAGTTATGTTTAACCAGTGTTGTTATAGTCGTGTTTAACCAGTGTTGTTGATCTTGTTTCTATATTATAGTCGTGTTTGACCAGTATTGTTATAGTCGTGGTAAACCAGTGAATATTTATTTGAGTTGTGTCTTAGTGTTGATATACCAGTAACCTATCAATAATATTCCATAGCGACCACCAGAAGCATTACATAACGACCACCAATAACATTTCATAGCGACCACAAATAACATTTCATAACGATCAATGTCATTTCATAGCGACCACCAATTTAATAACGACCACCAAAAACATTTAATAACGACCACCAAAAACATTTAATAGCGTCAAAAACATTTCATAACTACCAATACCATTTCATAACGACTAATACTATTTCATATAAACCAATATCAATTCATAACATTACATAACGACCACCAACATTTTATAACGACCACCAACATTTCATAACGACTACCAATATTTCATTACGACCACCAACAATTCATAACGACCAATATCATTTCATAACGACCAATAACATTTCATATAAACCCATAACATTTCATAACGACCAATAACAATTTATTACGACCAATAACATTTCATATAAACCAATAACAATTCATTACGACCAATAACAATCCATAACGACCAATAACAATTCATATAAACCAATAACAATTCATTACGACCTATAACAATCCATAACGACCACCAATAACATTTCATATAAACCAATAACAATTCATCACGACCAATAACAATCCATAACGACCACCAATAACAGTTCATAACGACCAATAACAATTTATATAAACCAATAACAATTCATTACGACCTATAACAATCCATAACGACCACCAATAACAGTTCATAACGACCAATAACAATTTATATAAACCAATAACAATTCATTACGACCTATAACAATCCATAACGACCACCAATAACAATTCATAACGACCAATAACAATTCATAACGACCACCAATATCAATTCAGAACGACCAATTTGGCCGTACTAGCTCCCAATCCCAGAATGAAACGTCACAAGATGTGTAACATGATGTGTCACATGACTATAGATTGTTATGATACTTATTGGTCTGTTTAGATTGAGATATATGACGCTATAATCCATTGTTCAAAAACACCCCGCCCAATTTATAAATACGATTATCTTCCCCTATAACAGTAATTAATTCAGATTCACAAACGAGCAAATAGACGGCGGTGGTGAGAATGTGAATATGTTTGGTATATAAACACTGTCATTATTTGGTTTCATGTCACGATGAAAAAAATATTGTTTATTTACTAAATAAAGCAGTTTCCGGTATTAACACATTGTTTACCTAATCTTATTTTTCAGTTTAATAAATTAACGGGGAACCTGGAAACCAACGAATAGTATGTATATTCTCTATATACAAAGGTAAACAGAAAGATAAGACCAATTAAAAAAATCACCACCTTCTTCATCCTGATGTACATCCAATCATAAACTGTCGTCCAACCTCGTGGGTTTTCTCCGGGTCCTCCGGTTTCCTCCCACTGCTAAAGACACCTACGTGAATTATG